ACCGGCAGCTCATTGTAGTTCAGAGGAGGAGATGGCGAAGAAGAAGAAGAAGAAGAAGAAGAAGAAGAAGAAGAAGCGATGCGAGAGCCGCGACACCTAAACTCGCGCTCGCTCGTTAACGTCCGTTTCATGCTAGCCGCGCAATAAATTACATTCCGGCCGATCGTAATGAATCTCGCGCCAATGGATAAATCTGCGAGATATTTCTACGCGATGCGAGACGCGTCGGCGCGGCACGGCGCGGACCCGCGATGCGCTGAGGTTCTCCTGCGAAGCAACGGGGACCCTTACGTCATTGCGTATTCACGGTACGGCCCATTGAACAGGGGAATTCGGTGAATGGATATGAGCGCATACCGTCAATACACGCGTACACCTCTACACCTTCTCAGTTGAAATGCTCAGGGTCGGATCGCCGTGAAAAAGGCATTCGCTTGCGAATTCCTTCCGCGAACTTGCCGAGTGAAATGCGCACTGTTCGAGCTGTCGTTGTAACGTCTTCCATTCGCGGTGATAATCCGTTCGTAACGTCTAAATTTGCACGGTTGCATTCTTATTCCTCTTATTTGCTTCCGCCGTACGCTGTGCTCGAAGTATTTAAAAATTATTCAACACAAAATTAAGGGATGTGTTTTGCAGCTTAAATATTATTTCTATGATTTTTAGACGAAATACGTAACAAACAGAAAATGCTAAAATTGAAAGGAATTAAAAGAGTGCCTAATAGCTCAGCGATCAATTAGTCTTTCTTAATTTTTACGTCTCCATTTTTTCCGCGAACTACGAGTGGCTCGCGATAAGACCGCATTGCTCTCGTATCACGTTTCGGTGCGTGAGCGCGTGTGTGTGACACCCAGAAACGATGTGTTTGCAACCCAGAAACGACACACCCGTGGCGACGCGTTGTGAATGGAAATATCGGTCTGGCTGTGGCCCGGCTCCACCTGTCTTTGTCTTTCTCTTTCTCTCTTTGCCACGGCACGATCGGCATTCCGGTCGATTCACCCTGATTCGTCGCGAGGTGCATTACTTTCCATCTTGCTCGTTCAGGATCGGGCGGCGGTAGGCGCGTCCGTCGAACCGAGACTAATTCCACTTGCGCTCTCGATACGGCCGCGCCGCGACGGAAGGCACCGTGTCTTCGGATGCATGCGTTTATAAAGCGCGACGCGCATCCGAGTGTATCGTTTGCAGACGGCGGTTGGTGGCGTCGCGTCCGTACCGGCGCGCGGCACGTTTGTCGCCAATAAATTAACGTTCGATCTGGTCGTAATTGTCGGCGATGACGTCTTCCGGTTACAGCACGCGCGCGATCATCGATCGTACGTGCTATGTATGTACGTGCTGGAAACCATTGACTCTCCGGACCCTCTTAACTCGTGGCTCGAGTGCCCGCTCGTAACGGGACCCACTCTTCTCCGAGTCGCCAATTATAATTTACTATGGTTTTACGTGAGATTACTCAAAATATAGAGAGGCATTTTTCGATCTGCACACGATTGCGCAACAATTCTGCCGTTCAAACACAATATTTCGTAATATTTAATTTTAAAAATATCGCAACTTTTTTCCTATGATAGATATTTCGTGTTTGTATATCGATTTTATTTAGAGAGAATTATTATAAAGAATATCCATTGAAAGTGACATAACTTCTCAACGTCGAAGAATTACATATTCCGAAGAACGCATAATTTACGATCAATGTCTTTGACTCGTTTCGAATAAACGTATACATTAACGAGTTTAAGTATTCCATGCAGCCACGCGCAATTTGCGTTTCAATTGTAACAATCGCGAAAATTTTTCTATTTTTTAACGCACTACACGTTTGTTCAAGCGTCGCCAAAAACAGTTTACGCGAGTAAAAATAGCATCGAACAAACTGCATCGTCAACGGAATCGAAGCGAAGAGAGGCACGATTTTACTTTCACGCTCACGATGAAATTATGTTGGACAAAACTGAGAAAAGCGAGCAACTACCTGCCGACAACAACAACTAGAGCGATTCGTGCTCACGCCGAAGTAACGCAAACACCTCCGCTCTAATTAATCCACTAATTAATGCATCATAATTATCCCGCGAGTGATTAACGTGCGAGCGTAATACGCTCGCGCTGAAGTAACCATTTCGCCGACTAATAACAATAACGATCGCTATCGAGCGCCTGCGACCGCAACGGTATCCCTTTTCACGATGCGAAATTTCCAACCACCAATGGCCAACTATTCATTGAATTGTGAATAGCGGCAAATTAATTATTATTAGCATTCGCGCTGTATATTGGCGGCCGGTGCCAGCCGGGCCGCGACGTTAGGTCGGGTTCAAAGGCTAGTCCGCCTTGTCCGCGCTTGGAAACAGGATGGCAACGATAACGATCGTGAGGGGGGAGGAGCGCCGCTTGCCGAGATAACAGCCGGTCGTGCGATAATTGCGGCAGCATAGGAGTTTGGCTTAAAGAGAGGCGCAGCTAGGTGCACCCACAGACCCGACACAGAGGCCGGGGTGCAGGCTGGTGGCAGAGGTTCCGTTACAGCCCGGAGGCTGCGTTCGTTCACCATTACCGTGGAACGCGGAATATGATTACCTTCACCTGGGAAGAAACTCCTTATACTACGAGCGGCGAAGGGGACCGTGGGCGAAGCTCGCGTCGTGGATACCGTGTCCCGGTTTTACTCGGCCGTTCGCTAATCAGATTGCAGCTAGTCGGATCGACCGACTTTTCGCGAGGGAGACGCATCGCCGCCGCCGCGCAGGAGCGGCTCGGCGGCTTAAATCTGCATACAGAGCGATTGAGCGCGGTATTTCAGCTCGACTCGTCGTCGTCGGCACGCGTCGGCTAATTTGATCACGCGTCTCGCGCGACGCGCATTATGCAAATCCACGGTTCGATAACCAGCGGTGTGCAACGTGGTCGGAGGAGCGGAAACTGATCGCGCGATCGCGCGAGGTATCAATTTATATGGGTGTAAGAAGCTGCTTAATCTTGCAGTCGTACCTTTTCAGCCGTCGGGTTCTCGAAACGTTCAGTTAAAAATTCTGAAATTGATTTGTACAATTGCGATATTGTTTTATTTACGATGTCCCGCGCGAGTAATGACGCGGTTAACAATTTATGACAACAAATGCTCCGGCGACTGAAAGCGCGTACTTCCGGCAAGGTGGTACTTGGTTCGCGTAGGGTATCGTACGAGTCGAGGAATGAATAACGGACCTGTCCGCCTCTCGTAAAAGGGATATCCGATGCTCGAGCCGCCGACGTGCTGCTTCATCTTCTTTGAGGACTAGGCGAGTTTCGACGACTAAAAACCCGATA